ATTTATTCATACAAACAGGCCGCCATTACCGAGCATGGAAAGCTGGATATAGGCGAGGAGGTCGCAGGGGGGAAAAATGCGTTTTAGAGCAAATTGTAAACAAACTCGGTCGCTGTCCCATACAAAAATCCAACATGGCTGAATCACGAATTTGACACATTAGAACACCTATATGTAGCCACCTTGGATTGGTTCAGATTTTGACAGTTCATTTGGCTCAAAACATTCTCTCCGCCCATCTCTCCCTCTGAGTATTTCTAGTAGTATTGTCGCGCTTATGTTAAATTCTCATTTGGTGACGGTCGAAGCGCGCCGCTCATAGCGCTCTGCAACTCCGCCCGTAAGGAATATACACAAGTGTGTAACTTTGATAGTATTTTATGGCAGCGGTTTGAGGAGCGAATCCTGGATAAAGAGCCGCCGTGTGTTAAATCAATGGGCGCAGTCGTACGGCCATAAACAGAAAACAGATGGTATAACCGGTATAACCCCATTTTGAGAAATTATCCTGCGACACACAATAATAATTTTTTTTAAGGATCAACTCCGTCCTTTTTTAAATATTTCACATTTCAGGCATAACATTTAATAACGGTGCAAAAGCATTTGTAAACAAACTTTCTGAGACCCTTTACATTTGTAAAAAAAAACACCATTTTTTCCGCTTCAATTTTTTTCTGAGGTGCAGTCCGCAAATCAAGCTAAATAATCACGTATCAAATATCAATTCCGAATAATTGTGAATTTTTTAAGGTAAGCCTTTGGTTTGGAACTTTCAGTTTGTATCTATTAACTTTATTCGATTTTTTCAGACGAAAATATTGTTTCAACCACATATTGTATTGTACAGGGTTTTATCCAGCTTTCCATGCTCGGTAATGGCGGCCTGTTTGTTTGAATAAATGTATGCTAAACTGTTCTATCTGGAGGTTTAGATTTTGTCCCCTCTCTTTCCCTCTCCCAGGAACAGAAGAAAATGGAACAACATAGGGGAATTTACGTATTCTCGGCAACATAAGCAGCAACCTTCTTTCTATAGGCTTTCTCTCTATGGAACGCACACATTTACAAAGCTCCAATCTTCTCTAGTGAGAGCGAGTATTGTCGGCAACCAGTTTTTCTTCGGCAACGGTTCCATTTGAACTGCATGTAAATCTGCTGTTCTATTATCGGCAACTCGAAATCAGCTACAATTTGTAGTGCGTGTGTTTCATTTCAAGAAAACCCTGCCAGATTGCTTTTTCTCAGTGGTAAAAATATAGTCAAATTGAAGCTGAAAGCATAAAGAATCGTTTGAATGCAATCAGCGAAGTGTTTTCGTAAGAAAATCCAGTGAAAATAGTGTTTAAATTTGAGTTGCCGAAAATAGTCTGTCATGCCGAAGCCGTCATTTCCCCTATGTTCTCCAGTTAGTGTCAAAAATTACAGTGAAGGATACATATATTCATACTAACAGGCCGCCAGGAAAGCTGGATAAAACTTCAGTCGCGTATTTCAGCCTTATTGTGCAAAAAGGGCCCTTATCGGGCTATTAGAAAGGTTTTGCAACTGATAGATTACCGTCACGAATAAATATACAAATTACAAAATCGGGCTGGATTTACTTGGAATCCTTCTCTACACTCATAAAATTCGACACATTTTCATTGGCAAATTTACACGTAAAATTCCACATGATTTTAATGTGTCCACACATAAACAGAATCCACTGAGAAGTATACATGAAATTTATGAGTCAAATGAATACACGAAACGAAAATTAATTATTTTATTCATGTGTTTCACTTATACATTTTTGCCAAAACATCAGCCTTATACTTTCCATAAGACAAACCACATAGGACCTCCGTGCAATTCAAATGGAGAGTCATTTCACACGAGGTGACAATTGTCACCTCACCGGTGATAGAGAGTCACGTGACTCGCAGAATAAGGGAGATAATTTAGGTACAAATCCCTGCTGCCGAATTGTATTTTGTTTTCTTCGCCCATCTCTCCCTATGAGTATTTCTAATACCAGGCAATAAACAAATCTTGCGTTCAGAATTATATGGGCCTAACTGCGATGATTGATTTCTTCCTATTACTACCCACAACATTTCCGAAATTTGACCAATACAGTATAGTCGCAGTTAGGCCCTTATGATTCTGAAAGCTAGAAATAAATCTTGTACACTAAAGAATAAAAGAAAAATTATATTTCACAACTGATATCAATTTGGATCTAAAATTTGTCCTCAATTGCTTTATTTGAAAATAATTTACAACCACACAATAATTCGAGTTTACCGGATATCGCTCAACCTTCCTCCGCGATGCCGTTGGTCTCGTCGATGCGGCTTTTGTTTTTCATCAGGAAATTTGCTAAATATTGCACCGGATCCTGGGGTCGATCCTTGGCCAGTGCTTTGAGACCCTGCAGCAGGATGGGATTCACCGTTTGGTCCAGGTACTGACGAGTGGGAAGCGATTGCAGATCCCGTCCGGAGGGTTTACGCCCGTTGTCGTTGGTGGATTTGTTCTCTTTTTCCATCATTTGGGTTTTCTGTGTTCGCTTGGGAGCTGACGGGATTTGCTAAACTAGAGGCAATGAAATATGACGAATTTTTATATGACTGTGTAAAGAAACTTTTAATACCCTGGACAGACTATGGCTTATATCATGTAATATAGGCTGTCTTGCAATGAGCACTCATACATAGGATTTCCAGTGAAAACTAGATGTATGAGTGCTCATTGCAAGCTAGCCTATATTACATGATATAAGCCATAGTCTGTCCGGGGTATAAGGGTACAAATCTAGCTTTCTGAATTATAAGGGCCAAACTGCGATTCTCTTCGCATAACAGCAGGGTTGCTTCCACTCACTTGCTATAAAATATGTTTTTCGGAATTATAAATTCACTCAGAGTTAGCGCTCGCAAGTCGTAAAATCGGTGATTGTGACTATCTGAAAGCGAATTTGACTGGTTTTATGTGCCAAACACTTGCCTTTCAACCTCTTTTTGTATCTAACAAGTACAAAATATCATTATATCATCTAATGATTCAAAAATTTAGAAAATCATTTTTTTTTTAGCAAGTGAGTGGAAGCAACTCTGCATAACAGCGCATAACCATAGTTCAGTGAAACAACTTCCCAAATTATTACAAAGGAGTGTTGTAGTGAAACGTTGCATCATCAAATCCAGCCGAGTTATTAACAAAAGAAAAAAATCAATCGTCGCAGTTAGACCCTTATGAATCTGAACGCTAGACGCTTTTATTTGTATAGTTTGTTCACTCAAAGATAAATTAAATCAAAAAAGCTTAAAAAGTATCCCGCATAAACGCGAACCATCACATGACCTTACCGATAATGGTTATAAATTGTTTATAATCCCTGCTAAACTTCAACTGAAATGGTTATGGAACTTTACATGAACGTTTGTGTGATAAAGTTTTAACCTTATGTATTATGGTTTTTTGGAAGCGGACCTTACAAATAATGGGTTGTTAAGAACCATTACCATTCCAAATTCTTGTTTTCTCCATACATTATCGGAAAGAGAACTATATTAGAACGTTTTTACTTATGGTTTGAGAACATTAATGGTTATGGTTATGGTAGTCAGTAAGGTCCATTAATGGTTTTGTATTATCGCTCAACTTTACGTGAAATATATCGCGAATTGGTTGCCTGTAAATTACTGATTACCAATTCGATATATTTCACGTAAATTGTATGTGGAATATATCGCGAATTGGTTGCCTGTAAATTACTGATTACCAATTCACGATATATTCCACATAAAGTTGATCGATGTTACAAAACCATTCATGGACCTTACTGGTTACCATAACCATTACCATTAATGTTCTCAAACCATAAGTTAAAAGGTTTTAGTATAGTTTTCTTTCCGAAAATGTATGGAGAAAACAAGAATTTTGAATGGTAATGGTTCTTAACAACCCATTATTTGTAAGGTCCACTTCCAAAAAACTATAATACTTAAGGTTAAAACTTTATCATTAAACGTTCATGTAAAGTTCCATAACCATTTCAGTTGAAGTTTAGCAGGGATTATAAACAATTTATAACCTTTTTAGGTAAGGTCAATTTATGGTTCGCGCTTATGCGGGATGCAGTTTCCCGCTTCACCTTATTGAGTCCGAGCCGTGATTACTTCGGCAGTAGTCATGCATGATTAAATTCGAAATAATCTTTCCAGTATTAAATTTTATTCTTTTTCAATACTGATATATAATCAAAAAAGATTAAAATTCAATCAAAAATTATTAAAATAGAATAAAAAATGATTCAAATTAATTAAAAAAAAGATAATCTACAATCTAATCAACCATGATTAAACTAGGATTAATATCAGATGCTTATTTTTTAGAAAGAGAGGATTAATTTTTAATCATTCGATGTGATTAAACTGAGTTTAATGTCTAATTAATTAAATTTCAAGCAAAATGGGAATAGTTCAATTTATCAGTGTTGAAATGTTAAATATTATTTAAAAAATAGGAAGACGGAGTTGATCCTTTAAAATATATATATTTTTTAATAAGTTTCAAAGCGTTCTGGCATCCCTGCCACTGCATTGGTTTACCAATACAAGACTCCCGATACGGCATTACAATTTCAGAATCGGATAACAAGCTTAGTTTACAAGTTGTCCATCTTAAAATTACAGCTTATTGTTCATTAAAACGTATGATTTCCAATAACTATTCAACTAATGCAACTACAGCCACTGTTTAATAGAATAAAGTTAAACTTACACGGACCGAGTTCCTTCTAACGACCAGCTGCGTACTTTATTTACACTTCTGAGTTCTGACGGACGAGAACGACGCGATCGAAAAACCGTGACAAACCGAACTTTGACGTTTGATTCATCGAAAATATGGCTTCGGTCTTATCAATGACCTGGAATGGATGAAATTATACTAGACTGACTTTTTTCCACTGGCAATCAGAGATCTGCCAAAAATTATTTTTCAATCAGGCCACTTGCACGGGGATCGTGGTGAATCGAAATATTTTTCAATTTTTATCGTGAAATCCATCTGTTTTATCGAAATAGTTCTTTGACGGATAGTGCATTCGTGCCATGGCAGAGTTACTAATCGATCCGAACATCCGGGGATGGGTGTTTCTGCCGATTGTGGTTATCACATTCCTGGTTGGTATCATTCGTCATTATTTTTCGATATTGATTAGCTCCCAGAAGAAAGTCGAGCTCACGCAGATTCAGGACAGGTAATTGACGAAGCGTTCTCATAGAATAATAATTATTGGAAAATGATTTATGACCTTCGTTGTGATGTTTTCCAGCCAAGCCATGATCCGCGCCCGACTGCTCCGGGAAAACGGTAAATATCTCACCCCGCAGTCGTTCGCCATGAGACGGCACTACTTCAACAACGAGGAGACGGGTTACTTCAAAACACAGAAACGGGCTCCGCCTAGTCCAAACTCCACGGCAATGCTGTCGGATCTGGTCAAGGGTAACTTCATCAATGTGCTCCCGATGATCGTCATCGGTGGATGGATCAACTGGATGTTCTCCGGCTTCGTCACGACGAAGGTTCCCTTCCCGTTGACCTTGCGCTTTAAGCCGATGTTGCAGCGGGGAGTCGAACTGGCTTCACTGGATGCCGCCTGGGTATCGTCCGCATCGTGGTATTTCCTGAACGTGTTCGGGTTGAGAAGCATCTACACGTTGGTTCTGGGAGAGAACAATGGTAAGTTTCGCAATAATGGTTCATAGGAACAACGCTTATAATTTTCCCCTCACTTATCCAGCCGCCGATCAGACGCAAACCATGCAGGATCAGATGTCCGGGGCAGCGGTGGCCATGCCACAGGATCCGAAAGCAGCTTTCAAGGCGGAATGGGAAGCGCTGGAGATTACCGAGTACCAAAATGCACTAACCAATATTGAAACGGAAATGCTGATGGCAGCCAGCAGCGGATCTTTGCCGCTGGAAGCGTCCAGTGCCGCCTACCATAGTAGGGAAGAAGGTGCACTTAAAAACTAGGATCACTCGCACGCATTTATCTCGTAGTTTAATCCAGAAAGAAAATTGTTGTTTTATTCTATAGCGAAGGTTAAAGATTCGTCACACGCAAATGTTTTGTGGTAAATAGCCGTATCAAAGTGTTGCACTTGGTGGGAAAATCGTGAAATCAAAGATAAATAATGAGTATCATCATCGTATTTATTTTTAAATATATTGCATTTCATTTGGTTGGGACTATTAGGCAACAAGATACCGATTGTAAACGGGATCAATAGAGTTTAGTTAGTCGAATGGGAGACTATAATATTGTTTACGATAGCTCAATAAAACGACGAAATAAATCCTTTAAATTCAATGTGATTTGTTGGTTTGTCTCAAAAGATGACAAAAGCAGAAAGCTGGATTTAGTGCATAGAAATTTAGACAAAAGAATCTGAATTGAATCAATTTTTATAACCGCTCATATTCTTATTTTCGTTCGGACCGTATTGACCAAACAAAAAAAAAACACATTTTTTTGTATGGAAAATACGGTTCGAACGAAAACGAGAATTTGGGTGAACATGTCTTCTCACATCATTCGACTCGCGGAAGAACCCCTCTGCTTCAATAGTCTTGAGTAGTCTAAATTTAGGCATATTGGGTGCTTTTCCGTATAGGTGCTTTTGATGACGCCTATCGATATGCAACCTTTTAACCACTCACCATAAAAAGTTTCGATGACAGCAAGAACAAAAATAATTAAGGGTGGGTGAGCCAGTAGTGGACGGAACTAGACCGATTAATATTGACATCGTTTATAATTTTTTAATAAATAAATTTCATTTATTAAAAATTTAATAGATGATGTACGTATACGGCGAATGAGAACGACCCAAATTTGAGCTTAGTTAGCTCATAAATCAGTGCAGGATCTCAGCGATGAGTAATTTTGCTTTATGTTTTCCCAGGGTTTTCCAGGAAAAAAAAATCACGAATATGAGAAAAGTAAAGATTAGATTCACTCAGTCTATTGGTATTGCGTGTGGTAGGATAATTTCTCAAAATGGGATTATACCATCTGTTTTCTGTTTATGGCCGTACGACTGTGCCCATTGTTTTAACGGCGGCTTTTTATCCAGGATTCACTCCTCAAACCACTGCCATAAAATACTACCTAAGTTACACACCTGTGTATAATCCTTATGGGCGGGGTTGCGTTGCACCGCGTCTCTGAGCGGCGCGCTTTGACCGTCACAAATGAGAATTTAAAATAAGCGCAACTAGGGTTACGGTATGTAATGTGGGTCTAGTCCTTTCATTCGGCCTATCACGCAAATAAATAATTAATTAAGGAATATTACACAAAAAATAAGGAAAATATTGATCACTGATGATTGATAAATGTGTACCACACACAAATCAATTTATATCACAACATTTCAATACATTTTCAGCTCTCGTAAGTAATAAAACTGGTTGAGAATATCACTCTGTTCGGAGTTTTTAGCCGCCATGACTTCTAAGGTTAAGATGGGAAGGTTGCACTGACGATCATCAAATGGCCTGATTATGGCATTTATTGAATGGAATTACCTGATAATACACACTAGACGTAAAACTCACAGTTACTGTTTGAATATTTTATGTTTATTTTAATTGTTTAACAACGTTTTCACAAGTAAATCATGGACCCAACTTTAGGGACACATTTCTTTTCTATGTTCCTAACTTTGGCCCATGAAATTCATTTGACAGCATATAGTAATAAGAGTAACGTCAACAATGTGGTTTGCATTTGGATGATAAGGAACGAACAGGAAGGGAGATTTTTTCTGCCAAATCTGTATAATGAACATCACAATGTTTTGATTTAGATATTCTGCGGTCGAAAGACGATAAGCGAAATTTTTAATTTTTAATTTTTAACTTGAGTGATTTAATGTAGTTTTCGTAAAATTTTCTCTAAGAAATGTTTTGAGGAATGAAGAGTATTAAGTTAACAGTGATAGTGATAAAAAAAAAAATACATAAGAAAACGTTACCAAGAGCGTTTTTTTTGAGAATCAAACAGGATAGGACGAAGTTGCATCCATAAATAGACCCAATTTGGGGACAATAGACCGATATTACATACATTTCCCTGGTGAGTTTTTGTCTTAAAAAAAGTAAGTTTTTCAACTTTTTGCGGTTCCTGATAGCAAACGACATGATAAGCATATCTAAGCATACCATTTAGCAGTAGAATATCGTTTGCAGGTAAATTAATTGATGAGTTATGATTAAAAACGTAATCTATGGCTGCATATTAGACCGAGGTTAGGGACGTATACCCTATATGAACTAGCCCGTGGCTAAAAATCTTCTAAATAAAGATAAAAAAACTGAATCATTAAAAACTTTAAAAACTCCTGGAACCTCTGCAACTCTAGCAAATGTTTAAATTCTTGGCAATGTCAAAAAATTCCGATACTCTATTTTTTTTTGAAACTCAATAAATAGAACTATACTGCTGCTAGTCGCATAAGAGTCCTATGTAGATAGGGAATTCACAGGACAAGAGTCTGTTATGTGATTAGCGGCAGTATAGAATTCCCGGAAAATTAGGAACTCAAAAATTCTAGAACTTCAGTGACTTCTGAAACTTACTAATACTTTGAAAAATTACCAAATTCCCTCGGCTAGTCGAAACAAAATAAAGTTCAAGTGTTCATAGAACTCTGGGAATAACGCTTAGAAGTCTTGAAAATTGTGGTATTTTGAGAACTTTCAAAACTAGGTACCAGCATTTTTCAAATCTAAAAAACAGAAGTGCAAACCATCTTAAAAGAAACTTTTGGAGCTCCAAGAATAAATCACATATCCAATGGAAAATATTCAGTAGAATTTCACATAACTTTCATGTGATATTATAAATGGGAATTTTTACAATAAAATTACATGAACCTTATATTTCAAATTAAATTTAAGTGATTTATCATGTGAATGTTATGTGAAATTCAGATAGATATCATTTGTATTGTTGATGGAAAAAAAAATGTAATGCGCATTTCCAATGGAAACTACATGAACACTTTTCTCCGTGCAGCAATACTTAAGGCTCTTGAGCTGGAGCGAGACTTTAAGGAATTTTGGTACCGTAATCCGGGGGCAAATTGATCACCGGGGTGAAAATGATCATTATCGGTTGCGTTATGTAAAAAATCTGTGATAGATATCAAGAGAAATCTTTATAGTATTTCATCATGATACTTCAACGATTGTTTTGACGAGTTTCTCTTAACAAAAAAGTAGATTTTACTGTATAAATTTCAATTTTATTTATGGGTTTATAGAAGATAATTAGGATTAGTTCCACTACACATTGTAAAACTATGCTCGAGGTCGGCGGGATTTTTCTGAGGCATAAAAATCTCTGGTGACGTTTTCTTTCGGAAGGGAAGTAAAGCCGTTGGTCCCGGCCCATGTGTGTTGAATGGGTGCGATATTCTACGCAGGTGTGGAAGCTGCGTTCCTGCACATTCGATTGCCGTCAATGGATGGCAATCGATGTCCGTCGGTGATTGGCACTAGATTGCGTCGGAGACCGACATTAAATAAAGGAATGAATGAAGGGAACGTGAACTTCCCGATAGTCCTCGATGAAAACGTAGTTGGTTGCATCCGTCATGTTGATTGCTCTCTGGTAACCATGGTCAGTGTCGGGATGGCCATATCTTATCTTAGCCATTTTTGCTCCTCCGTGGTACGTATTCCGTTGGATGATGAATTTTGTTTGCTGCAGCTGCAAAGGGGCATCGACGCCGGTGATCTGGCCAAAAAAACAACAGTCCAATGGTCCTTTGATGATGTTGAACGAATCGAGAACTTCCACTCACGAATATGTCATTCTAGCTATCACACACCAAGGGGTATTCAAATCTGAACACCTTAATCTGTGCCGAAAGTTTTAGCTGTCCCATGCGCTATGCCGAACGTATCGAAGTAGGCCGAAGTTTGCCAATCAAGTTGTAAATATCCCACGAGTTTGGCAACCCCGAAGCTATTGTTGGGATTTGTTTGCGCACCCCTGGCGCGCTCTGAAACATTTCAAATGTCATACAGTAAGATGTTTAACGATCGTCACTCAGAACGAACCGACCAGCCGAAGGGCTCGGGTATATGAAAATACACCAGACGATTAGTCTGTTCTGAAACCTCGAACGAGAAACATATCTTTTTTCATTTGTCCTCAACCGAAAACTCGCGAGTATAAAAGTGTCGACGAGGAAAAATCCTTTTTTTTTATTTCTCGCCACCCAAGGATCACCTTCCTTGCGAACGTTCAACATCAAAGGTTTTTGCACCCCTTTATCGTTTGTAGCAGGGCACTTTTGATCGCCAGCAGCGACCACTGACTGCTGCAACTTAATATTCCCAGGAGAGGTAAATTTATTTCCCCATCGCTGAAGGGAAGGCTGTTTCAGCAACCCGATTGAAGGAACACAATCGTAAGTAGAGTGAAAAGAGAAAAACAGAACTAAAGAAAGAAATAGTTCTGGGTTGTGGTTTCACCATTTTGCGGAGATAGCGTTATTTTGACAAGCGGTTGCTGATAAAAATCGAAAAGGCCTTTTCGTCTTTGTGTACTTCGGGGTATAATAGGGTGGTCCGAAACAATTATTTATTTTTTCAAATAGCTTTACAAAAGTTTTCTTTCTTCCTATTAAATAAAGGTCACGATCGGTCGAAGCCCGTGTCATTCCGGAATTTGGCACAATACGGATTTCTGCGGTATTGGATCGTCTGACGAAAAAGTTTTCTTCGGTGAGAACTGAGGGCAAGGTTTGCTTCTGGCGATTGTAGCAGCTTCTTCAAGGCAGAACATACAAGGTAGACGCAAGTTTAGTGCTGGTGGTCCAATAGGGTGAGTCGCTCATTTTCCTTATCGTCATTTTGATTTTTTTTACATGCTTTGAAAGCATTTGAGGTGATATTATTGTTCAACCTAGATGAAAGCTCAATTTGTTTTTTTTTTTCTGATTCTTTCCTTTGTTTTTTACACGCTTCATATACTATTATTTATTCCTTTTGTATCGAATTATCGACCATTTTATTTTTTTTGGTTTGTTAATTTGATGCTTTTGTAACATTTTTTTCCTTTGATTGTTCTACTGGCTGATTTTGATTGCACTTTTGATTTGTTTTATATTCCTTGTTGAATACTTACTAGGCTTTGTTGTATAATAATACAATGAGCTCAAGTGTGGCTTTTTCGTTGGAACCCTACCGCAGGGGGGCATCGTTTAATGACTGGTTTACCCGACTGAAATATTTTTTTCGGGTAAATAAGATAAAAGAAGAGGACAAAATGGCCTACTTCATTACTATGAGTGG